AGACGTTATCGCATCGCGATATTTTTCGTTGCGAATGTTCGTTCCTGTAGTTACAGCATACAGCAGTTCGATGTGGCTCTTAAAGCAGTGTTCGACGTTTTGCAAAGTTCAGTTTCACTGGGAGCTGTTATTTGCTTCCTGGGAAACGAAATGTTGCGTAAAACCCGGAGTGCAACACCTAATGTCCCGCCGCGTCATGTTTCCGGGATTTCCGGCATACATCTGTTGCCGTTACTGTTAATTTAGGTACAATATCGATTTCGTGCGAGGTTCCTGGTGGCCTAATTTGGAAGATTTGTGGCAGCAGAACATTCCCGTATTTCGGTACACACAGAAGCCAGGGGACATTGTTTGGGTGGGTAGCGGGGTTGTGCACTGGATTCAAGCAACGGTACTGATTATGGCTTGTACTAAAAGAATCCTAAGCAGTGTGCTTTATAGGGATGGTGCAACAGCATTTCGTGGAACGTCGGTCCGCTGACCAGTTTCCAGTATTCGGTGGCATTACACCGCTACGAATGGAACCGGTTCATCTCGTACAAGTCGGCAGTGCCTTTGATTCACCTCACATGGCAGTTAGCTCAAAACATACGATTCGCCGATGCGCGTTTGTTCGACCTACTGAAGTACGTTCCTTAGGCTAGCCAACAACCAACGGTCTGCCGGTGGGACCCGCGGTACATCGTCATGCGCACTTTTTATAGGCAAACGTTGGCACGCTCCCTCGTCTATTGTCAGCTGTCGATCAACTTCGTCACCGGCAAGTTCAACAAGGAGTTGAAGCACAGTTCGCGAACGCTGGGCGAGGTCGCTCACTACTGTCGAATCTGTGAGGTAGGGCGCCATTCGCTCTTCTCCCTTGGTTGCTTTCCTGTACTTTTCTCGTATTTTTAGGCAGAGGTTTTCAACGTGCTCTTCGTGACAGAAAACGAAGGAAAGTACATGGTGCATTGTTTGCACTGTGCGCTGCGCATCGACGCTCAGCTGAAATCGTTTACAGTCTTGATTCAGTACCTGATGGACGAACTGGCTGTCATATACAATGAATTCGTCTTAATCCCGGTAAGAGCAAAGTTGTAGCCGCTTGTTGTCGTATAATGTTCGGCAACTGAAAATTAGCGTATATCGCTTCATATGGCACATGTGAATATTACCGTGCGTTACGTTTGATGATTAACTTGCTGCTAGGTTAATCATCATGATAATTTTTAAAGGGCCTGCCGTGCATGGGCTGGTTTAATTTATCCAACTGGAGGGACTCTCTTGATGATGAATTTTGCGTCTACGTAAAGAATTTTGATGATATTTTGCGGTATGTGGCGTTTTGGTGCAGCCATTTTGTTCCACGGTTTTCGGCCGCGGAGCTGCGGTTGCTGCCATCGGTCATGGCTGCAATCGCCGGTTTGATTCTCTGTAACTGGACGGTGATCATGTGCATCGAACGTCATGTTTATTGTAGCTCATATGTTGTATTTAATCGGAAACGCTGCTTGTTATCAAACTAGTGAATTTCTGATTACAATTCAGTTGTGGTAACTGTATGAGATCATTATGCCAGCGCATAGTCCAGCGGTTGCGAGCTTCAATTTATATCATTGACAGATGGTATCAGTTTCTTGAATTCGCCGTTCATTTATTTCTGTGACTAACTGTGCGAGGTCGCTAAGTAAGCGCGCAGTCACTTGATCTGAAGTCTGAGTTTATGTAACTACAGGTGGTCATCTGTATCAGTTGCCTGATTTGACCCCTGACATTATAGATCGGTTCAAGAACTCCCTGTGTGCACAATATGAAACTTTCGCGTCAAGTATCAGCTCACAAGTTTGCACGATTACGCGAGCTCGTATAGAGCTATGCATTGATATGCAGTGTGTCGAAAGGAAGCAGAAACGAGACTGAAACATATGCCTGCAATTTGCAAAGATTTCAAATCTCTGTTAAGCCGACTTACTGACCTGACGCGACCGTCACGATGAAGTCGTAACATAAAGTGCAATGTTCGAAATACGCAGGTCGGACACTTGATTTATTGGCTTAGTCGATGTCACAAAGAGACTTCGGCATTCGACATTTCTCACCATTTACCGTTGTGTTCTATCCTGGTTGATGTCAGATAATATGGCAAGCCAATTTCTGTGACATCGTTGACTCGCATTTTGCCAGTAGGTTCGGCCCACCTGCTTATCAGACAGTTCGTCTCTGAATCCACCGCGTCATGAAGCTGTCGGCCTCTCTCACTCTTTTGCAGAATAGGTTCGGCGCACTACGAATCAAGATGTTGGTCAGCTGCTTGTCGTATCGTCGCAGTGCATGGCCGAAAAACTAGTTTTAGTTTTCACATTTCTCATAGGAAGAGTTGATATTCTTCCATGTCAGGCGAAGTCCACGTGTACTACTTCTTATGTTCGCCTGCAATTGTGCATTCCTGATCCTATCAGTCAATTTGTAACCGAGTATTCTGCACCAGCACGAGCGTTCAAATACAAGTGTGACAGTAGCATTTCACTGCACTCACGCCTTTTCACTGATAGATAGTATGAGTTGAGAAGTCAAATATTTGGTATAGATGGTCATCTGTCGACAAATTTAAACTCGCCACCGCAGGACTGCGTTCTGACTTAGTGACCTTGCAAGTCACCAGTGGAAATGAACGGTACCGTTCTTCACAAACTGCGAGCTTTTCATTGATATACAACATAACGAGTTAAATCAAATAATTGATGCAAATAACCATCATCCGGTTATACAGATTCAAAGCGGAGACCGCAACACTCAGCGATGGCAACAGTTTGCAGATTGTAGATTTGTGCGCTAACAGCTTGCTCCTGCTCAAAATGTCTGCGCTGAAAGATCCCATTCTGATCATTTCATGGCTAAAAGATTGCCAGCTAAACAGAAGCTTCGGTAATCAGTATTGGTCGTACTGGTAAATATTTTGCATTGCGTGTTGTTGTGTAAACTGTTTTGTTAAACGACTTTTCTCACTCTTTTTATACTGTTTCTGGTTATTAGTCAGTTGAACTCTTAATCGGTCAGTGGTAGGGGATACGTAATGACGACATTGATCCTGACCTTAACAGGCGCATTGGATTGGCATCGACAAATTTTGGCAAACTGTATGGCAAGTGGGAAAGTTCGAAATAGATGAATTGATACAGTGATCACCATCCTGAAAGCAGTTTTATTCGCAGTGCTCATGTACAGTGTCGAAACGCCTTCGGTCCTTAAACTTGATGAAGCTCCTCTAAAGTAGGTTCCTACAATGTTGTCTACGAAGTATCTTGAAAATGCGATGATATCACCGATTCATTGGCAAATAGATGCTGACGATCAGCTGTCTAAGATAACCGTCAGATGACGCGGAGACTGGCATCTCGATTCGACGAAATAAAACGATTCTAAGAGAGAATGGGGATTTTTTCAAACCTTTTTTCGGGTAGAAGCCGCCAACTGGCCGCAGACACGTTGGACGACAGTGCAAAACGTAGAAATACATCGTTGGCTAGACCTACTGGCTGTGAGGATTATGACCTATGCTGCTGCGATGAACGTTGCCTAATATCAATCTGTGATAACGTTTCTAATGGTCAGACATTATAAATATGAATTACTTTACTGGTCTTTGATGACGATGACAGAACAACAAACAACAGAGGACACTACTATGGATTATGCTTTGAAGGTTTGATATTGCCCGTTTCGTTACGGCTTAAATCATAACACCCTGAGCTGAACAGCCTTGTCGTTTTGTTGTTTTACTGTTATTATCCGTGGCATATGTTTATACACAAGTTTTCGAATTTCAGAAAAAGCAAGGCATTGTATGCTGATCCAGTGACTCTTCTCTGTTTTCGTTTACCCTTTTCTGTACGTCACGGACTCGCTTCCGAACTGAGTCGAGTACTTTTCCGCTTTTGCACACATCGTGCTTGTTACGGTATAGTGGAGTCGTTTGCAAATCCTTGACTTTTCTTGAGTGAAAATCAGAATGACGCGTCGTCGATCAGAGCCGAACTATCTGTCGATCGCACGTTTTTCGTCGTTGAAAGTGGGTTTTTCGAAATTGTTTTGCTTTGCCATTTTACACTGTTTAACTTATTGGCAAATTGCGCCAGGATATTCAGCTGCTGGATGTGTCAGTGAATGTCAGTGTCACAGGTCAGCGCTGCTAGTGCATGATTTACTTCGCCGAGCGGTTACAGGACTGGTTGTTTCTACCTCAGGTTTTTTTTGATTTGACACTTGATGGAATTATGACCGACCTTAATGGTGTCGTGTAATGTATTGTTTTTCTGTTTTGCGTTTTATTTTTTGATTAATTAGATTGCTGTTTCTGGTAGATTTAAATGCGATAATTATTCTATGGCTGTTTTTGAAATTGCTGGCGTTGCTTTGCTTTCGGAAACGATTGTTTATCGTAGAAGATTCTGAGATTACGTGCAATAAATCGTTATTGAGATTTCTTTCTTCTGTTTCTCATGAGTATCTGTAATCTCCAGTTTCGACAACGTGTATTGTATAGATGATTTTCAGGCAAAGAATGTCGCTCCCGGACTGAAAAGGATTATGCAGTAAACCTGTTGTACCGCTCCCTACAATCACTTTGAGAGAGACGCTTGCCTTTGCCTGATGTTGCCACAAATCACTGGCCAACTGAATCATTGTCTTGCTTTCTTCTAATATGTTGAAACAGTGCTTTGTAAATATGCAGTTATGCTAATAGCAACAGTCTTTGCATAAATCAATTGGCCAAAGGAGACGGTGCCATGCTTAACATTTCCAGTTGTGAACAAATCATTGTCAGAATAAATCTCTACCGGATCTTAGCCAACAAATTTGCCGCTCCCCCGTGTTAGCGAACAAATAACAATCAGCTGCGTTCATAAAGATGAAGCGTAGTACATGAACGTAGATTTTCCACGGTTTGCCTGAAGATTACGATTTTGAAGATCAAGACCAACTGGAATTAGGGTAATGGGGTCAATACTCCTGTGTAAAATGACTCATTTTATCAGGTTTTACGGAAAAGTATCGTTCCATTGCTACTAGTAGTTTCGGAGTTGGTGGATATAAACAAATCAAGTTAGGTGAAAATTGAGTACCGTCAATATGTCGGTGCATAGCAGAATTTTAACGTTGGCCCAAGATGTTCACGGAACCAGCGGGGCTTTGTCGCTCAAGCAATATGCATGCTAGTAACACCAGCGGAAAACAACCAACCCCTTATGACTACTGTGTGATTTTCAAGTTTTAACCCAACTTCAGTACATTTATAAAGGCTACTCTGCGCGATTTCTCTTCCGACTTCTTTGTGTGACCTTTCCCTGAAAGTTTAATAAAATTATGTCAGCACTTTACATGATCTCCACTTGTGAACAAAAGTAGTACAGCATCAGTTCTCCAGTGTGCTGGTTTCTTCGCCGTAATTGCTGCTTGACATGCGTTTAAGCCAGAACTTGCCTTGTTCGCCAAATGCTTGAAGTATCCCAGGACGGAATTCACCAATTCCAGTAGCTTTGCCATCTTTCAAACTCTTCACAGTCTCCATGACTTCATACTCAAATATTAACATATCGCTTTGTCCGGAA